GCCACATGTCAATATTTAAATTATAGGGATATTTAAGACTATTGCAAGTTAAATGGAGTATATATAACTATTTTTATATATGTTTCAGGTAATGTAAACAATAATGGATACCTAGACTAAAAACTAATTTACCTTTTTAATTTAGGGTAAATTGTTTTCTCAGTTCCGTAACTGGACTCCTTTATCATTTTATCAGTTAATTGTCGCTGACTTGGCGGGACACCTGGCGGACACGTCACCTCCGGCGAGCCACGCAGGCATCTCCGGCGCCGGAGGACTAAAACAGCGAAAATCTTTCACTTATGAAACTAATTTGCGACATGCTCCACTTACATGACTAAAATGATAAGGGGTCTGGACTAAAAAAACAGTTTACCCTTTAATTTAATATATTAAATATAATGATGTTGATATTAATAGAATTTTGCTACTTTTAAATTTTATAAGTTAAAAAGAATATTTGTTTTGTGTTATTTCTTTTTCACTATTTATATTTTTATATAAAAAAAATCACATACAATATCAAATTTATATATAAAACATCATATTTAGTAGCTTTCTTCACATAAAAAATATTGAAATAAAATTTAAAAATAAAAATAAAAGTACAATAAGAATACACCAAAAAAAAATCTATTTAAGAAGAAGGAGGGAAGGCGGGCGGAAACTAAGATAACAGTCAGCTGAAAAACGTTAGCTAGCTAGGCTAGCGCGCAATGACTTTCTCTGATAGGGGCTCGTTATATTTGTGTTCTTTCCCTAAAATTTTTTCGACAATTAATATTACAAATATATGTATTCGGTATATTTTTACACAAAATATATAATATATTTACTCTATGTATTTTTTAAAAATTAATAATTTAATTATATTATTATAATGATAAGCTTGATTGACTCTAATATAAAAATAAAAATAATAATAATAATAATAATAATAATAATAATAATAATAATAAATACTTCAAATTGAAAGTACAAAACAAACAAACACATTATGCAACATCTTTAATACTTACATGGGTAACAATGATTCAATGCATACAAAATGTTGAATGATATTGTTAAAGACTTTGTTAGGTTAATCGTTCAATAGTAAATTTATTCGTATTTTATATTTATTATTGAAATTGTTCATTAATCAATAGAGGATAAATTGTTAATTTAGCCTCGTATTTGACATCCATTATTATTTTAGAATTTTAAATAAATTATGTCTGAAAATAATTTCGCAAGTAAAAATATTTCGTTAAAATGGTTATCCGGTGTCGGATTCGCCACGTTACCTTGCCGTTGCTAACATACACTGACGCAACTGAGCATGTCATCGGCATGTCGATGCCACGTTAGCAACATGTGAATTTATTTTTAAAATTGCTTAAATTTAAAATTACTAGCGTACCAAATCCGATACTTTATGATCATTTTAACGAAAAAAATTTTATTTGTGAAATTTATTTTCAAAAAAAAATTCATTCAAAATTTTAGAATGATAAAAGGATTATACACGTGACTAAGAAAATAATTTATCCTTTAATATATTGTTACTCAATTAAGTGCGTATTTTTTCAAAGCAAAAAAAAGTAATAATAATTGAAACGCTTACCAATCAATATCATACTTTCGTATATTTAACATAAAAATAGTCCAATTAAAAATACAACACAATTCAGTCGTATTAAAAGTACTTCTTTAATTATATGTTAATTGTCATTATAAAATATACTTCAACATACATGATATAATAATGCTTAAAATGTTTTTCTTACGTCTCGAAACAATTGATATATTTGATTTGTGGCGCAGTATTTAAGATAGTACTCTCTCCGTCTTAAAACTATTTTGAGTTGTATTTGACACGAGATTTAAGGAATATTGATATTATATTGGTAGTGGGTAAAAAGTACGGGTAAAATATTTTTTTGCCATTGTGAGTGTATTAGTGTAAAAAATAGTGGCAATTGTGCAATAATAATGAAAGAGTAAGAGTAGTTTTATAGTGATATAATTATTTATGGAAATAAGACTATTATTCTGGGACTGGCAAAAATGGTAAATAATATAATTATATTGAGACGGATAAAGTATTATTTAGTGAGTTAATAATAGTGATTTATGATATTATTTTATTTATTTTCATATGAATGGTGATTTTTTTAAAAATAAAAATTAATATATATGATTAAAAAAATTTAAAGTATACATTTAAATATTTTAAACATTTCATCTCAATAAAATACATATAATATGAATATTATTTTGTAAGAAATTTATATAATACAATTAAATAAAATATTTTTATTTATTTACAATTAACATAAACTATTTTTTGAAAAAAAATATAAAAATTTTAAATGTATATACAAATATTGATTTATTTAAAAAAAGATAAAAAAAAGTTTTTGAATGCATCGTATGTGTAAAATATTATAAATTTAATTAAATTGATTGAAAAAATATAGAAATAAAATAATTTTATGTGAATTTTAATATAAATCTTAGAAATTCAATTAAATTTGATTTATATTTATTAAATATATTAAATATTGATAAATTTATTAAAAATAAAAAGATGTAAATTATTTTTGGACGAAAAAAATACATGATCTTAGAATATTAACAAAATAATCTTAAATTTGCACAATTATATTTGTCGGGCTTGTCTTACTGATTTTTGTACTCAGTCTATCATTTTTTATTTATTTATTTTTTTCAAATTACGCCCATAAGTAGCTTTAATTATAATAATTTAAATTGTCAATATTTCAACAATCACTTTATCACTACATTTTAGCTTATGTCCACATATAGTGATGATTTAACTTGTCCTTTTCTAAGCTAATTAAATTTTTCTTTGACTATGGTTTGTTCGTCAAATAATTTTATTTATTATGAATTTATAAAAAATAATATATATATTTATATATATAAAACATATTAACTGAATGTATATAATATATTCCTCAGTCCCTTAACAATCTATCAATATTTTCAACTTGGTCCGTGCTATAACAAAGTATCTATTTTTTATTTTTTGTAATTATACTATCTACCTAACATTACAAATACCCTTCAAATTTACAATATATTACACAAATGTCATTAGCTTTATATCATACAATACTAATAGGGTTAATTTAGTCTTTTTACTTTTATTTCTACTTTATCCCAATATAATACTAATATTTCTAAAACTCTGTGCAAAAAGCAAATTGATATATGAATATGAAACGAAGGAAGTATTATTATCTATCCACCTTTAAAAAATTAATAATTTAATATAAAATATTATTTTTATATTATTGATATGATTATTTCTATAATATTTTTCTTAGCTATAAAATTCAATAAGAACAAATAAATTTCGAAATATAGATGAAAGAAGATAGAATGCATAAGAAAATATATTGCTAAAGAATGTGAATTAACTCTATTTATAACCAACCACAAAAATAAGTTTCGGAGCTGAAATCAAAATCAAATGTTAAATACACAAGCGATTGGTTAAATTTTACTTTAAAAGATTGAAAATCACGAACTAATAAAATTACTCAAAATATTCGATTTGAGATGGGGCAAATAATGCATATTAACTCAACAGATAATCAATCACGAGAATAAATTTTGAACATAAAATCATAACTAAAAGATTAAAAGCACAAATGATAGACTAAATTCCAATGTAAATGATTGGAAGCCACGAACATATAAAATCGTTCTAAAGATCCGATCCGAGATAGTTCAGAAAATATGAATTAACCCGACGGATAACTAATTGTGAGAATAAATCTTGAACCTAAAATCATAATCAAATGCTAAAACACTGTAAAAATTGGGCAAACTCAACATCAATATGATATTGTCTGCTTAGGCCGAGTCCACGTGAATTTGTTTGAACTTCTCTGAAGAGCTTTGTACTAGTGAAGTTAGATGTGAAATTTATAAAATGTAAGCTTTTTTTTTTTAATTTTTGAATATGAGACTTGAGTTTGTACCTCAATAATTTTATCTACAAACCAATGACCATATAACATATGATCTCTCCTCTAATGATATTTTAATTCATATGTTCATTTTGCACCGTCTTTATCAACAAATGGACTCATCGTCTGATCATACATATCGGGACAAATCGTCCAATTGTTCAACTGACCATCACAACATCAAAAAGACTTTCAACATAAGACACCACCACATATTTCAATTATGAAGTTAACGAGAGCTTCTCATCACCAATACCCAATGTCATCCACTCCACTTCACTAACTAACTCTTTTAAATCGAGCTCTGATACCACTATGATCAACAAAAATGCAATTCTCTTGCAAAAATATATGGAACAATAACGAATTACGTGTGCAAATAAAATATGAAAGCAACACAACTATTTTCAATATGAAAAGTTATTTAAGATAAAGGAAAAATTCATTTGTGGTTACCAAAGAAAAAGATCTACTATAACCAAATTGGGTACAAGAGTTTTAAAATATATATATATATAACTGAAATATTGATTTAAATAATATTTTGAAGTAATATATTTTTGTTTTTTAATTCAAAAATGTTGTATTACACATCATTAATAATAATAATAAATAAATAAATAAATAAATAAATAAATATTGAATCTTTTTTTTTTATACTAAATCTGCATCCATCGTTTGCTTAAGACAAACTGCTTATTTTTTATGTAACACAATTTCATTTCAAAACATTTACGAAAAAACACATGCAGTTGTACCTTTAATTATTTGATTAAAAATGATCCAATTTCAACTCAAATTAAGATTATTTTATTCACATATCATAATTAAGAAAGCAAAGATTCATAAATTATTATTATTATTATTATTATTATTATTATTATTATTATTATTATTATTATTAATGTTGAAGACTTATTGGGCCTATTGGGCTAAAAAAATCTGGACAAATATTCCTTCGGCCCAATCCATCAAAGCCACGCATATAGTCCGTCTAACTTTTAAGTCTTTCGTACGGAACGGAGAACTTTACTTCGCCGGCGGGGACGAGAAAGTAGCCAGTAGGTGGGTGATTCGGCGGAGGAGCTCATCGGCGGCGGCTGGACGATCTGAACTTGAGGTCCGAACCAAAATAGTTTCGTCTGGCGTGTTAATTTATGGAGTAATGGATATAGATTATAGGAACAAGCTTGTCCTCGCACCTATGGTTCGAGTTGTAAGAGTTTCTCTGCTCTTAATGCGTATGCTTGCTTATCAACTGATGCGAGGCTTTGTTTCCTTCTCGAGACCTTCTGTTTTTGCTTCTCTGGCGTTTGAGCTTTGTGCTTGGAATTTTTAGGGCACGTTGCCGTTGAGGCTGCTAGCTGCTGAATATGGTGCTGATATTACGTACGGAGAGGAGATTATTGATCACAAAATCCTGAAGTGCCAGCGCAGGGTTAATGGTACGGTTATCGCTAGATTTGGTTTGATTTTGATCACTGAATTTCATTTTATTTCTAATGGTGCATTAGATTTGGCTGCGGTGTTCGGCAATGTGTAGAAGCCTTTTTCGCTTTCGTGTAATTGTACGAGTGACGTTGTTGGTGTTCTACTTTTGTTAGATGTGCTTGGGACTATTGATGTGGTGGAGAATGGAACAGGTAGTGTTGTGTTTAGAACATGTCCTGAGGAGCAAAATCGGGTGGTTTTCCAGATGGGAACTTCAGATCCTATTAGAGCTCTTCGTGCTGCTCAGATTGTGTAAGTTAGTTTCCTCTTTCTGGTATTTTATTTTCTGAAGCTATATGCTATAGAAAGGGTTTGAAAGCCTATTCATGGAGTGAGGGGCATAGGGCTTCAATTTTACATATCCGAGACTTTGAAGAGCACTAGTGAGTTCGATTTTCTGTTGCATTTTAGTGTACTGTGAGTGGATTGATATATCAGTGTAGTAAAAATGCTCTTATAGTGGCATCTGTAGAGGTTATTTTTTTCGGTTTTGTAAGTGAATTTTAAGAGGGGAAACTGTGTGATATTGAAAATTAACAATAGCTAAAAGTGGGGATTGGTGAACATGAAAATTTGTTTGACTAGTTTGGCAAAGTCAACTATCTGTGGGGTAGATTGTTCGCTGTGCAAATATTATCACTATGAATAGAAGTTTGCATTATGTATCATACATGGCTACAAGTTGATACAAATTATGGTACTAGTCACTGAATGTTGAAACAAACCAAAAAGATAAAACTTTTGCCACTGAGAAGTCAAAGCTTAATGTCTTGCAGGCGCTGAAACAAGGCTAAGCAGCCTTCCATTAATGATAGTGAACTTACTGTTTTAGGCTAACTCTTCCCTGATGTAAGCAATATTTCCAAATTATGGAAACAAGTTGTACAGTGTTTATTAATTTTCAACACGGTGTCTATTGATATATTGTGAATATTATATAAAACTATTTAGAATATAACTAGAAAATGGCATTGAAGAAACAAATGTTGGCACCTTGTGTTAACATTTGGATGTGTCATTTGCAGCATTTTAGGAGTTTTGGATACGACATTTTTTCTGTGGAGGACGGATGGCTACTTAACATGTGGCCTCTTCATAGATGGTTATTTTGTGAGTTAACTTCACTCTGTGTATCTAGTTGTGAGTATTTCTATTTGGGCATGTTCCCTTGAAAACATCAGCACAATCATATACACTTGAGAACTGAAAACACTTATTGTCTCTGCAGTTGGCCTACCACCACTAATAGTAGGAGATCCATCTACATGGATTAAAATACATTTGAACTTGAGTTGTTAGTGTACACAAAGGAGTATTTCCTGAAATTGATTGTCTGCAATCAAAGATGGAGACATTCAATTCATTTCAAAGAAGTCTATTAGTTTTTCACCATGTGGGCTATGTCTATGTCACAAGGACCAACCGTTGCCCAATGAGAAGTTGAGCGTCGAGGAGATAGTCCTATACTATTTCTCCTAGATTGTACTACTAGTTGGTTGTTGTAAGTTATGTTTTGTGATGGTGATGGTGAAGCGCGTAGGTGACCATCCTAAATGTAAACGACTTGCTAAATTGGTCGAATCATTAATGGTCAAAATGGAATCTAGTTGTCCATTTCTCTATTGCAGATAGACAAATCTGCATTTTTTTTTCCTTAATTTTTTGGTCGGTGCACTTGTGTACGGTGTGTTCCTAGGTTATTTGCAAACATTTGCAAATTTTAATTAATAATTTGAGATTGCTACACCAATATGTGATACTAAACCAATAGAAGGACAGCTTTGAAACTATATGTTACAACCAACACTTTGTATTTATATGCTAGCCAAAGTGTATAATCCAAAGCTGGAAAGATTAATAATAAAGGATCGATTGATTTTTAATTTTAAAAAATTGTCAAGTGGATGCTTATACATAATAAGTTAATCATCTTTGCTTTGAAGAAATATAAAATGGGTGATCCTTTGGAAGTCTTTCAAGTTGACTGTTCATGAGTGAGGATAAGAGGCACTGGTAAGAATCTAAAAGGCTTGCAGCCCTATGTGGTAAAGATATGGTGCTACAAATGGCAGCAGAGGAAACTCATGCCTGCAAGTTGTACTTGACTACTTGTTAAACCAATTTGCTGCCTGGTAATGCATAGATTCTTGGGACTACATTGTAAGTAAGATGAAATGATTATATTGCATTCTCTTGAGTACAGAAGAGTGTATATAATCAGAAGTTGGGGAGATGAGTAATAAGAGTTTAAAAAAATGAATGGCTATTCATCTTAGTAAAACAACATTCTTTTCGAAAGCCTACCCATATTGATTTCAAAGCTAACCGTATTTAAAAGTGGGTGCAAGTGAGGGATAAAATACTAGAAAAGTGTGCACAAATAGGACAAAAAATTCTAGAAATAACTTATATTGATACATGGGGCTAGTTTAAGATCAAATATTAAAAATGCCCCGTATCCATTGTGGTGAGACCAGATTGTTCCACAAAGGTATGATTATTGAATTGCTCTGCATAAATAGTGATCATTGATATAAAAAATATTCTCAGTGACCTTTTGAAAAGTTGGTTAGTTGTATCTATTCCCTATCATACGCTTGCTGTGTCACCTCACTGTTTTTATTTGCCTTCTCTTTTAGCTCCAGGGATGTTGCTGCAGTTGACATAAACATGGGCTGCCCCAAGTCATTCTCCATTAGTGGTGGAATGGGTGCTGCATTGTTGACAAAACCTGAGCTTATTCATGACGTACGTCTGCACTTGAGTCCAGTATGGGCTAGCTTGTTTTTTCATATAGTCAAGCATGCTACCTTTTGTCTTATATCATTCACTCGTGAAATTCCAGATTCTAACAACGCTGAAAAGAAACATTGAAAAACCTGTAACATGCAAGATCCGCTTATTAAAGTCACCTCAGGATACTGTAGAATTAGCACGCAGAATTGAGAAAACTGGCGTTTCTGCTCTAGCTGTTCATGGAAGGTATCTTCAATCAGTTTTCTGCTTGAAAACGTGAACTATTTTACAAAGTCCTTGTGCAGTTTTTCTTATGCTTGTATGCCCAGAGTGATGTGGTGATGATACTCGTAACTTCCTCCAGCTGCAATATTTTATTTTGTACAAGAAACCCTAACGATGTTTTTGAGCTGTCTTAGCTGGTTATAGATCTTTCGACATTGTCTTTATATCAAAGGTTGTTATTGTTTCCCCATCCTAATTCAGCTGATTCCGCTAATGAAGCATTTATTATTATCATTGTTTATAACGAGCAGGAAAGTTGCTGACCGGCCGAGAGATCCTGCAAAGTGGAGCGAGATTTCTGATGTTGTGGCTGCAGTTTCTATCCCCGTCATAGCTAATGGTGATGTATTCGAGTATGAAGATTTCGAACGCCTCAAAGTTGCAACAGGTAGATATAATCGCCTAATAGTTTCATATACTTTGGGTTATTTATTAGGGTATTAATATTATAATTTCTGTATTCCTGTACTCAAGTATTTTTTCGTGATAGTGGTCTTCTGTGCATTTGAATTAGTTATCATGGATTCATGGAATCATAGTTTTACTTGTGGGCTGAATGAATGAATTAATTACTTCATGGTATTATATTTGTCTTCCTAATCAATCACTTCCACTAGACCTTGTTCTTAATTGTTCGAACATAAAAGAAAAGCTATATTATAGGTCCCCAACAACATGGTAATGAGACCATTGCCCTTGCAATTTGCATATGTTGAAAGTTGTTATTCTGTAGTGCCCCACTCTTCTACAATTTGGAGTTCCAAAGTCTCTTAATGTTTGCTCCTTATGAAATCTTTCCTACCCTATAAAATTTATTGGAAAGTATTGAGCGGGTACCATTTGCAGAGCATGTGCTTTTTGCAATGTGGTTTATTCAATCTTTACCACAGGTCACAGCATTCTTTCCTGAGGCAGACTTCTTTTCTGAAGAGGAGATTCATGATGCTCATTTTGGTATATAATTTTTGCTTAGATGATTTTTTACATTGTTATGAAGAATTTTCTTAAAAAGCCTTCCCTGGCACGCCTAATATACTCTTCCCTTCATGCATAATGCCAGTATGACAACATTAAGATTCCTCGATTGTTGGCTAATGTTGATTGCTCAGAATTCTCTTCTGACACTGACTGTTGGTTGTGTGCCTTGTTATGTTGGCTAGTACCGTTTTAAGTTCTTGCCATTGTTATAAATGCTTGTTTTTCTAGGGCAAGTGATGTACTGATGTTCATCACTGTCTAATGGTGCGTGCAATTTACAGTGCAATCTTTTTAAGGTTATTCTGTTAACTCTCTTCTATAATTTTATTCCTCCCACAGGCGCTTCATCTGTTATGGTTGCAAGAGGTGCGCTTTGGAATGCATCTATTTTTTCCCCCAAAGGAAAATTGTTGTGGGATGATGTGAAGAAAGAGTATGTTCAGAAGGTATTCGGAACCCCCTTCCTATATGTATATATATTAGGTTTCCCGTTGTCTCCATTTTTTGGATAGCGTATCTACACATATGTCCAACTTACGAAAGGATTCTTGTGTCAGTGCATCTTGTGGGACAATGACCTCAAGAGCGCTAAACATACATTGAAGGAAATGATAATGCATCATTCTTGTCTTGAATTTCCTGAGGGGAAGGCTGTCATCAAGTCGGAGACCTTAGCAGACCTGGCGTAAGTTTGTGTGTGTTTTCTGTTTTCTTACCTTCTGGAATTTTTCTGTGGGAGATTCAAATGCATTGAGTCGTATTCGAAATGAACGAATGTTCATGTGTGGCAATTCATGCTAGAGTTTGAACTGTGATGTGGAATTAATTAAGTAAATGACACAGATGAAATGATACACTTTACATAGCTCTCCAATTATTTGTTAAATGGAATATAGATTGTTGATTTGGCAAAACTAATTTTTATTTTTTTCTGCATGACTTGTTTTGAACTTGTCAGACGACTCTACGGAGAAGATGAGTACTATGAGCAGATAAACAAGATCCGGCCATATTTTGGCAAAAGCAGATGACATTACAGATTGTGCTCTTCCGGGTACCATTGAAATCTTCTGCCCAATAATTAGTTCTTTCCTTAAAAATGGTAGCAATGTTTTCTGATGTTTGTTTGAAGGATTCCTACCAATTTCCACGTCCACCAAATTTTTTTCCCCAAAAAAACATTAAATCAATCACTTATTTTTTATATTATATTAAAAATCAACTTTATATTCAAAACATTACATCACCACACTATCTATTTATACAATTATTCAAATTTAAAATTTTTACTATTTAAATTTCAATCTAAAATCCAAACCCCCAAACAAACATACTCTCCACTTGGAAAGTTGCTTCGATTGGGGAAGGAAAAATTAAAACAAGGATGCATTTTGTCAGGAGTTTCTAGTAGCGATAGTTCAGTTCAAGCATATGATAGATAAAAACTATTTAGAGTAAGGTTTACTGGCGTGCAGCCACGGAGTAGCATCTTTTATGATGTGTTATTTATTCCTGAGATTTCGTGAAATTTGCACAAAACTGGATATGCTTTCACTGGCTGAAATAGATTGTTTCAATAGTAGGGCGTATTAGGGAGTAGAGGGTAATGGTTTAATTTCACCTCAAGTTGTAATGACCTCTTATTGAGACCCCATTTGGTTGGGATGTGTGTTTGCGTTTTGGTTTGAAATTTTTGAATGAAAAATAGGTATTAGGGGTGATGCTCTGAGTGGAAAATAGTTACTTTAGGGGAGAAAGAATGTGTTACCCTAGAATTTATAGTACGGAAACAAGATGATGATGTAAACATATACCCATGGTTTCTGTTTTGGAATGTTTTTTATTTGTTGTTTCATACATTGAAATAGGTGTTGAAAATACACACCCTCACTGCAATGCTTGAGTGGAGTGTAGATTGCATATTTACTTAGTCCTTAAATCATACACTACTTTTTAATTATCTAACCACTTATAGGTGTTGTATCATTTTACCTCTGGTCTGAATGGAGGGAGAGTTGCATACAACCGCCGGCCAGGGAGAGCTGTTGTGTTGCGACCGAAAGTATTTTGAGTTTTGTGTCTTCCAATGGGTTATTGTTAATCTTTGCATGTCTTTCCACAAATTTACATTATAGAACAAATTTTTTTTTGGGCAAGTCACTGAAGATGTCCTGCCCTCAAACCAGTTAATCCCTCGTTTATATATAATAGTTCATGCTTGTAATGATTTTTTTTTTTTAAATCCCAATTGGTATTATTCTTGAAGTCGTATGGATTTGTTCATTTAAATTTTAATGGGGTTATTTTTTATTTTCTTTAACTTTTTAATCCCAATTGGTATTATACTCTTAAGACTTCAAAAATAAAGAGAATTTTCGATATTTTACTATTCAGTTTTTACACTTTCCAATAAAGAGAATTTTTTTTCTACTTCTAAAATATTATATCAAATTATTATTTTTAAAAAAGTGGTTCGTTGAGATGATATCATGAGATTATTAACGAAATTAATAGGTGTAGTTAGAACTTTGTTGCCTATACGAACTCTACTCAACGTGCCTTCAAAATTTATGGTGTTTTTGTTATTTTGAATTTAATTTTAATTTTATATTTTTGTAAAAAGATATAGAATTAAACGATCATATGTTGCAACCAAACAGTTATGATCGTCGGGTCGAGGTGTAAATTTGCTATTTCTTTATCAAACGTGCGTGTGCATTTCAAGTGATTAGGGATGCTTGGACTTAATGTTGCTTTGGAAACTTTTAATTTAAAGAATTGAAGTGATCAGATATGAAATTTAACATTATATGTTCGAAGAAATGCTTCACTTATCAAAACACATCCTAAAATTTTTGCTAAAGTTCTTAGCGTCAAATCTAAGCAAATTTTGGAAAATTCAAAATTAAAATCAGTTATTAGTCTTGAACCTAGCACGGTGAATGAAAATTCACGTACATATTATAAGTGGAATATTTTTTCCATCTATTTTCTTTTAGTTAGTTTATAAAATGTAGAATGACTTAGAACGACCACCAATTACACCGTCTAAAGATATACGCTAAAAAACCAACAATTTCTTGTACACATTTACTAGTAGAAAAGGGGATTAGGACTACCTAAATTTGCCCCTCACTGGAGTCCCTTGCAACTAAAAGTACTTTAAATTGATTAAGATCCAATTTATTTATTTATTTTCTATGTCTTATTCATATCTAAAAACACATCCCCCTTTTGCCACCCTTTCAAAAGACTTATTAGGTTCACTTCCCTTTCAACTACTTTTATCACTATTCAATCTTAAAATAGACAAATAAAAAATTCTAACCAATTTACCAACTAATAGTCAATTCAGCATAACGAAAGTACTTTTTTCCGATCAAAAGTACTATGTAAAATAACAATATTACCTCAAAGCAGTCGCATCGATCGTCCTCCGTCGAGTACTCCGCCCTGTCTTCGACAAAAACACAAGTATAAACAGTTATGTGCATAGATTGAAGGTCTTAAAAACATCTACTTACACAAAACAAACGACGGCGGCGTGACACAATAGCAGGGTAATCAATACAGCAATACACAAAGCATATATCCAGTAAGTATTCAATCACACTAATTCATAAGACTTTGCAAACCCATCATAGAATATGATATAAATATAAAATGAACACAAAGTAGGCATTTTTGCACTCTGAGAACAGAAAAAAAAAAAAAAAAAACCATAAGGCACTCCCGACGTAGTTTTTGCTCGATGATATCACAAGTCTTTCCACTCCCAACATCATGAACAGATAGCAATTCACCTGAAAGGCTAAAGCTAGTTACTGTTCTTAGCTTTCTCCATTCCCCTGGGAGCTGTAAACCGAACAAGTTCAATTAGAAGCACTTTTTTAAACATCAATCAGCACACAAAAATAAATGACACATAAGCAATGTATTAATGTGCTGCTATTCTCAGTGAAATCTGAATGATAAACTGGACTTAGACACGGCAAAAATAAAATAAAATGTCGTAAATATATCAAAAACATTCCCCCCAAATTCTTGTTTTTGATTATGAATTTTTTTTGTTGCAACACCTAATTTCAAATTGCAGAGAATCAATGATGAAGGCATAAGATTGCCAACCAGCAAGAATTCACTCACCTAATCCAATAGCATCTGAGCCTTTCATAATTTTGAGCCTCTTGCATGTGGCAGTGAACATCCTGAAAATAAATGGCAGATTTTTATGATACTATTACAAGTCCATGGGAAATAATATTCCAAGATCAAGCGCCAGCAACAACTAGTATAAACAAGTCACGCAGCTTTGGGTTGGTCTCAGAAATTTTATATTTTCAAAAAAAGATTCCTATAGGATGAAACCCATAAAAAGGTAAGACTAAGTGTCATATATATTTTAGTGTAGTTTGATCAGCAGTAGTACCAGAGCAAGATGTTCATAACCAATATTTATTTTAAAGATTTATTTTTCTAAAATGAGTTGTTGCAACAGCTAAGGTGCTTACCCAATAATATCTACCAAGGGAAATTGCAAAGCTTAGTTATAGATAAGCAGTACCATTAAACACGAAAAAATGAAAGAAAACTCACTCCCACGGGACATCCCCAACAAGCATCCAATCGCCATCCTTATCTTCATATGTCAACACATACTCAGATCCACTGAGCAGATCCTTCAACTTAGTCTCACTCAGCACTTCCCTACTCGGAGCACCCTGGGGCCCACATTGTCCTGAACAAGATATAATGCTAAAATAAGATCTCTGGCAAAAGAAATATATTCCAGATTGCATTAGCAACTTACCCAATGTAAAACAGCTGAACATTTTCTCTAGAGCAGATGAGAGTTCTTGATAGGTAGAGTACATCCTCAGATCCACCTTCCTCAGATATGGAGCACCGTCCATACTAACCTTGACAAAAAGAGCACCAGGACCTGGTTTACCATCAACTTCATCATTGTTCTTTGAAGTTGTTGCCAGAGTGTTCTTGCGGAAAGATCTGATAGGAGGCCAACCGACAACTTGTGCCCTGCAAACACAACAAATTTACCATAACATAAAGCTTCAGAATCATCAAACTTCTGGCCATGGTAAGTGCTTCACTTGTACTTACTTTGCAGCAGGTGCACTACTGGTGTTGGAATTGTTCTTGTTATTGCATTTCTCAGTTATCTTTGTAGGCATTTCAGTCTTAGTAGATGGCTTGGAAAGCATTACATTGATTCCAGCATTAGTAGGTAGCTTTGTTTGTCCTGGATCGTATCCTGCAGTGTTAAACATCCAATTTCCTTCACAAAAAGTGTTTTTGGGTTCGGAAAATCCATCGACAGTGTGTGCAAAGCCTCTTTTGTTCCCAGAAACAATTGTCTTTTGTGGCAGTGAGTTGATTCCATCCTTCAAAGGAATCAAAGGGAACAATTGTTTTTCATCGAGCTTTCCCGGGCTTGGCAGGGTGAAGTCGAGATCACGTTCTGGCGATTGAGATCCGGGAAGACCAAGCCTCAATTCTGTGGCATTCAGATTCAGATTGTTTGTGCTCTTCTCAGACACATTTGAGACTACGCTGCTCTCCACTGATGAAGAGCCAGACAATCCCAAGTAATTCCGTTCTTTCAAACCTGATGCATTCTGGTGAATAGAGTCTGCAGATTCCGTAGAAGCCATGAAAGAACCATTACACTGAATTTTCCCCTCAACCTCTGAGTGCAGTGGCGACATTAAGTTTGGAACGTACAATGCAGTAAAAATCTGCAGTACCACAGGGTATTATCACAAATAACTTGTTCTAAATTCTATTAAAATCATGCAAATAAAGCTATTAAAATCTAGACATTTAGCTATTTCTATGTTTCACAGTTCAGATGGATCTTTTCTAAGAAAGCAACTGCAATCAGTTCTAAATTATAACAATAACACAGAAACCGGTGATAAATTTGATTCGACATCTCTGCACATATAACAATAATCAGAATTTTATTGATTCAATAAAAATGAGATTTAAAAAAAAAAAAAGACACACACACACATTTCCTCTAGAGCTGCAGACTTGAATCTTTAAGAAGGTCAAAGATAACAGTATTTCTTAACTGTTGCAAGATCTTAAGAAGAGACTTGTGTTTCCAACTACAAACTAACCAAAGAAACGCATTAATTTATTGTTTCTTATTATTATTATTATTAAAATGATAATACAAAGTAGATCAGTAATTTTTTTTCTAGCTACAGTATATATGTCAAAAACATAACAAAATCATCAGAGGAACAAGAAAGTAAGAAAAACTAAATACACCAGCTTACCACTGGGAAAATGGTTCGGCACTGTAAATAAATAGCTCAAGCAATTCCTGCAAATATATCCATGTTTCGGACAAACAAGAATCGAATGGATTTTTAAACATACTAGAAGGTGAGAAAGGAAAATCCAGAGAAATGAAGCTCATAAAGCTCATATTGAAATTTCCTAACAAGTGCTTTTCAACTTTTGCATGAAAAAAAAATAAGTAAATAAAAACGATAATATAAAGCATAAAGGCATGTACCTCTTCAAAGATGAAAAATCACACCGAAATTACCATTAGAGCAAAAATCGTTAAAAAAAATACTAAAAACAACAATGTAAATGCAGATATATTCAACCAAAACATAACCTAAGAAGATCCAAGCCACAAACCATCACACACAGTGTACATACCAAAACTAACTAAAATCACAAAAAAACTGCCAAACATCACGAGATCTCAGCAGAATTTCACCTAGTTTAAGCTCGAAAGAGATAAGAAACCACAAAAAAAACCAAAATAAATAAATAAACAACAAAAACAAAACCACTGCTACCTTCGCCAGAAAAACATGCACGAGAAGAGAACAACATACCTGAAGATCCTTCGCGCTGTGTGCAGTGACAATAAAACTCCAAAGAAGATGAAGATTGAGCGAGTTCTGTAACTGTAGAAAAAGCAGGAAACCCAAAGCAGAGAGAATTTTTAAGGCCCCTCCATTCAAGCAGAAAGCTATAAACAAAATACTAACAAAAAAAGCATGAGAGAGGAGCTTTTATAATATATATATATATATATATTTAATATTATTTTTTCTCCGCTTCAGTACGATGGCAAATGAGTAAATTTCGCTGGGTATATTCTCATCGCTCATCGACGGCTGGGATTGGCTTCCCAGAGCGAATCTCCACCGTCCAAAATGACCATAAAATAATTACTGTCCCGCTTGCAGGTGGTTAATGGTGACAGCCAAATATGCCTTTTTACAGCATTAATTCGAGACAGTCCCTGGGCGCTTTGCTCCCCGGTTCTACTTGAAATGACGTAAATGCCCTCTCCACCTCGAAATGACCAATCTGCCCCTGTACGGACTCTCTTTTGCTGGCACACCTGTCGTTGTTCGATTCGTACGCTGTCGCATAGCCTCACGTGTAGGCAATTTTTGCTTGTTTTTTTTGGCAAAGGAAAAAATCAATCGCCCGCGAAGGGTGAAAAAGTAATTTCATGAGGCAGTTGGTGGGATTCGACAGTGGAAGTCATTAGTCAGCATTGCATGTCTGCGATTATATTTGTGCCTAAACATCATTATTACGCCTCTCCAACCTTCCCGTGCCTCCCCGCATGCAAAATGACTTAATTGCCCCCGCCATCTTTGCGCGGGGCCCACCATAATTATATCTTAATTGAAAATTAAACTGAACCCAGCTGAGTTGAAATTTCGTGGGAAAAAAGTATTTTGGTGGGGGCGGGGGTGAAAGTGAGAAGAATAAAAAGTTGAGGGGGGGAAAAGGAAAAGGAGGAAGAGTGCACGCAAAGGGCATTAATGAGGGAAGAAGGGAAAGGAGGGGACAGAGGAAAACAAGGGGTGGAAATAGTGATTGTTTTGGGGGACAAGAAAGCGGCAATCCCACTTGACCTGACAGCGACATTTCTTATTTAATTATTTGTTTATTGTAATTATTTATTTTTTGTCACGCATGTACTTCCAATTCTCCCTTCGTTTAATAATGGAAAAAAAACATGTATTCAATATTTTATTAAATAAATTTACAATTTAAACGGATAAGTTAATATATATATATATATCTATTAAATATATTTGGGATTTTATGGACTTGTTTGGCTTTGTTTTTTCAATATATATATATATATATTAGATTATTTTGCAAAAATCTATAATTAATATAAAATATTTTTATTTATATAATTTACCCAATTCTCTATATCTAATATCAAAAATAATAAAATTTCAAATCACAATACTAAACAAACAAACCATTTGTTTTGTAGTCTAACTCATATCTTTTATTATTCTTTTTACATCTAAATTTATACTTATTTTATTTTTTAATGATTATAAAAAATATATTCAAAATCATATCATTTTTATATAAATTTTATCATAAAAAAATAACAATTATTATATACGTTAACTGAAATTTGAACTCAACCAAATAAGTATAGAACTCAAAGTAATGAGTTGATCTAGGGGAAGTACACTTATATCTCACTTTTCCACTATTTCATATTCCCTTCGTTATTTTGTTTCTTCTCCTTCTTCCATTATTTCTCATCTCCCATTTGTGTTTTTTATTTTCCTTTCAAATTTTCTTCACCTCTTTCGTTCCAGAGCAAGGATTGTAAGGTTTTAGTGATTCTGTCGGCAAGTGAAGCAGAAGATTGCTGCGAAGGAGTTTGGGGGACGAATGTTGACGGGGGATAGGGTTTCCGGCAGTTGAGCGCAAAGAGGTAAGGAAAATCGAACTACATTTCATTTTGGGTTTTAATTGTTTAGTCGATTTCGTAAATTAATGCAATTTTCTATAAATCTGTGATAGGACCATCCTACACACTAATCCGGCGTTTCCTTCATTCCTCGCAAAGGGTTTCATATGGAAGCCAGAAAAATATGGATAGTTGTGCAATGCCGCGCATTTTTAGGTTTGTTTTTCTGCTTCAATTTCTACAGAAAGCAACCACTTATACGGAACGAGCACAGCCGTGCTTGATTAATTCTATTGTGCTACTTTTGGGTTACGTGAAGCACACAACAAACAAATCGACCACCGCCATGCAAATGTAGCTGCATTTCTCTATCCGGTGCATTTAGTGTTGTTTTCGAATAACCATGGACTCATGCATGGCCGTGCACACGCTTGTCCTTCCACATGCAGCTGTAGGCAAGATTTAGAAGTAGATTCGGAATTCTTTTTCTTTTTAGTTACGGATGAAAAAAATAATAATAAAGAAAAAAAAATCCACTGCTCTTCACATATATTCCATTACTTTTATATTTAATATAAATTATTTTCAATCAAATTAAAAATCTCATCACTTCAATCATCACTTATCAAATCACTATCCAGCAAAACTCCCCAAACCCCAACAAAACCTACTATACCAAAGAAATACGAATTCTAAAAAATTCAAATTCAAACCAAACTCAAACTCATTCTTTCCAAACCCAATATAAAGAAACACGCCCTATATTCTTTTCTCTCGTAAAATATCATATCATACATTATTTTAATACTCTTAAACAAAAAATTTCCAAATCCCATAAAAAAAGACACATCCAAACGTGTTCTTTTGGAGTTACATTATTATTATTATATTTTTAATTATACAATATTCGTTGTTTTTTCTAAGAATATATATTCTACTCTCTCTCCACCTCTACGAGTTATATTCATATTTTGCGTCATTATACTTAACATTAGAATATCCTTATGTTTATGTATTTTTTTGAACAAATGTCATTACATTAGTATTATAAAACATCAATAGAAATATTTTTGTTCTTTTTTAAATTATTTACACTATATTTTGATATAATAATTAATATTCAAATATCAACCCATAAAAAATAAATGTGATACTTAGAACCGAACCAACATAGTATAACCGTTTTACTTTATTTAGTTATCCGTTATAAATATATCAATTTTTTTATTTATCTTTTATAACTAATTTTAGTGATTTAGTTTAAAAAGGTTTTTTATTATATATATATAATACAAACAATTATATGGTAATATTAAAAAATAATATTTTAGTTTGAACTGACGAATTTTTTGAGAAAAATAAAATATATATATTATATATATATAATTTGTATACAAATAATTTTGAGTTAACAAACCTAGTATTCTTTCTATTCAATGTATTTATAATAATATCGCTCAATAAATTTTCTAAAAACAATCATAAGTCAAAAGGATTTTTTTAAAAAATAAATAAATAAAATTATTTCCATTCAACACAACTATTTATATATATAAAAAATATTATTATTTCTGAAATTCCAAAATAATACTTGTATGACAAAGAAATATTATTTTTTCTCATAAAATTTTATATTAAATTACTAATCAACTCAAATACCAAAATAAAAATAAATACACAATTAAGCTCCAAAATAATAATAATACATCACTTCATTTCATTGCCGTAGGATTTTAATAAAACATCATTATTTTCAACATAATTTTATACTCCCTCAATTCAAAAAAAAAAAAAAATAGTCTTATTTATGATTTGTCTGACCAAAACAATAATCTCATTATAAAAGCAACTACTACTATATTACAATAAACTATCATTACTTTTTTATTATTATTATTACTCAAATATTTATTTTTATGCTTAAATTAAAACGTTTTTACAACAATAAAAAAAAAAAAAATTTATTCGTTACCTTTTACTCTCTGTCAATATAATATCAATATTTTTAAAATTTGTATCCAAAGAAAAAATTTTATTCTTCTAAAACAGAAATAATATAAAAATACAGAAGTATTAATTTTTATGTAGAATATCGGGTGTGTTCGTTTTGTGAAAATGAATTGAAAAAATATTTTTTTTTTTATGTGAAGTATAAAAAATCGTGTATAGAATATAAAAATAATAAATATGTATGGAGTAATATTTTTTAGAAATATGTGAAGAGAAAATTAAAAAGAACAAATCCATATTTTATAGTAATTATTAAAAAGAGGTGTAAACTGTATAGCAAAAAACTATAGTGCTCATATAATTTTTTAAATAAAAATAAAAATAAATATTAAATATAATATTTGTTTTAAGACAATAATGAATAATACAAATTAAATGAAAAGTATGGGACTATGGGTAAATATAGCTCTAACTTTGGAACTTCACTATTATTAAATATGCATATATATATATATATACACAATGCCTGTTTATTTGAGGTTTTGAATTTGAGTCTGAGATTTAAATAATAAATATTTTTAATTAAAATTGTATGATATAATATAAAAATGTGATATTTTAATATAATAAAAAATAAATATTTGATTTGATATTAAAAAATATATATATAAAATAAATAATAAAATTTTTATAAGATTCTGACTGTCAATGCATAAAATACTAGCACATGCATATATCACTGTATATGTTGCCAGCGGCACTTTCTATTCTGGCATCATAGTATCAACATTATGGCTGCAGTAACATATTTATGTCAAATATTTTGAACTTTTTAATTTGTTTGAAAATAATAAACAATAATATAAAATGCGTATTTGATATAACGTATGTATTGTATATAATATTTGATCTGTTCCAATTCAAACTACTTATTTTATCATTTTTGTTTGTTTTTTCATAATATTATTTTTTTTTATTTTAGAAAAAATAATCACATATTAGTATCAAAATTTATTTAACTTTTATTTAAATAACAAATATACAATTACTTTATATATAAAGTTAAATACAAAAATATCAAAAAAAAATTTACAAATTTTTATTAATGAATAAAATACTATTATTTCTTAATATACAATAAATTCCCAAAAAGACCCATTGAAATGGAACAACATGAGTAATATTTTTTATTTATTTATTTTTTTATGGAATTTTTTAAATGAACACACATTGTAATGCTATCTGGTATTGAAATAACATGCATTGTTATTTATACTCCATTTCGTCCCACATACCACGTCTACGTTGCGGTTTCTGTCCATCCCATATATCATATCATTTTCTTTTTTTAGAAAATAATTACACATT